ATAATATATAAATATATTGTAAAATAATGAACAACTACCCTCATTCCTCAATGTCTAAATAAAAAGATCATTGTTTTAATACACCCATCACAATCTAAAACCCTTGAGAACTAATAGACATTGAGACACCTATAATTTTTATTTGAATGATTTAGACGTTATATTTATTTATTTTAATATCTTCTAATTAAATATGTTGTTTTATTTTTTCGAAAAAATAGATTTATTAAAATAAAATATGAAAACATGTAAAATCGTACATTTTATTTTGAATGTACAAAAATCGTAAATTTCAATACATATAATATATAGCATGTTATAATATGACATACAGTTTCGATAAATATTATACAAAATTAGTTCTTATAATTTATTATTAAAAATGTATAATTACATTAATATTTAACCTAATTATGGGAAGTAACTATTATTAAATAGTTTACTGTGAGGATTTTAAACAATGTTCTATTTTCAACCTAGTTTAGATATCTATGATAATTACTATTACATTTATTTTAGTATAAAGGAAAGACGAAATTGTAATATGCACCACGAAGTTTTTACATAAATCATTTACTTTGAATCCGTTTGAATCCAACGAACAAATAAAAAAATAATTGTTATCTATATAAATTATAAATAGTAACAAGACTACCTAAAATATGTAAATTGGATTAACATATTAAAGCTGTTGATTACGTCAGTCTTACATTTTCACTTGAATACTCTCAACAGTTATTTAGTTTAAAAATAATTACATACTAATCCTTAATATTATTGAAATAATAATAATAACATAATTATATTTTTATCAAATAAGATGTGACTGAATAACAAATAACTCAATTCTATGAACAAAATATCAATGCAAATATAAATTAATAGCCTGTAGGACTATAAAACTTCTATTCGATTATCGATGAGTATCGAAACGGTAATTGGAAATACAATTTTATGACTGTACCTATGTTTACACTGCATAGTGTACATTTTAACTGAAGATTTCTTTTTAAAAACAAGGAATAGTCGGAACCCGAGTTGCAACCCTACTTCTTGTTTCAATAATTAGACAATTTAAAAAAATAAAAACTTAAATTTAAAATTTCAATGTTTTACACGAGGTTTTACATAAGTGATGTGAACATCTTATATTGCATACAAAGCGCTTAAAATGATAAAATGCTCGATAAAATGTATCACTTTTTTTATCATTCTGCACTACTTTTATTTTTCAATTATTATAGTTTAATTTAAAATAATAAGTGTTGTATCTACAATCTTCAGGTAAAATACGTTCGTAAATTTTATAATAGGTACGTATATATAATATGAAAATCTTTACTGGGTCACCTTACTTTTCTTAAAATAAGAAACTTAAATTAATCTTTCAGATAAATATAATATTCAATTCCAGCTTATCAGGATAAAATTCAAGTAAATACTAAATTGACATAATAAAGTGGTTCATGTGAACGTAAATTAAAATGATTACAGTTCATTGGAAGAACATAATTAATATCACAGACGAAGGTATATTAGGTATATCATTAAACATCATACCATATATTATAATTTATAATTATCTTAAGGTTAGCTAAAAAAAAAAAAATATCAATCGTTTTATAATATAAATAATAATTTATGACTAAAATAAAATTAATTTATATGATAGTTACATAAAAAAAAATATCTAATAATTTGATTGAACTTTTCAAATAAATATTATGTGTTTGAAAATAATATTAATATAAAAATTAACGTTTTGATCAACATTTTACAATAAAATATAAAATATAAGCATATTATAATATAATATTTAATAGGAATAAAGTTCTTATAAATTGACTGTGTGATTGAATACCGAGATGAATATAGTTTTGAAGTTTTGAAATACATAAGTAAGTTGATATACAGCAAGAAATTGTCAACCTTTATGTTTTGAAAAACAGTTTTAGCCAATGACCAACTGTATAACCATAAAGGGTAATTTTAAAATTTAAATTTAAATCTGAATATAACATTTTTAGTTACATAAATAATTTAGAAATAATGCGACTATCGATCCATTAGATCTCAATAGTCTACAAAAACAATAATTTATATTAAAATTTGTATTGTAAAAAATATTAATAAAATATAATTAACTAGTTTTAAGAATATTAGGTACGTAAAATATCTAATAAATACGTTTTATTTAAATATGTATAAATAATTAATATATATAATTTCTAAAGTAATTGAATCTACCCAATATTACAGTAGGATAAAATAAAAAAAATAATTTTAAGTAACTTGAATTGTGTTTAAAAATAAAAGGAGAAATAATTATTACATTTTCTAAAACAAAGTATTAATTAGGTTATACGTACATATTTTCAACTATATTGATGTAACGAGGAAAGATTAAAAGTACATATTATTTTTTAAATAGTTTAACAGTGCAGACTCATTGCCTATTTACTTAATAATAACTAAAAGTAAGCTACTATATTATTATAGAATATCTGTATAAGTATAATGAACCATACTGAAGACTAGTTGCATGATCCGAAATTACATAACTTTTTACGATACTCATCCATACTTATTAATTATTATTAATATGAGTATGATTAAATTAAATTAATGTTATTATTAATTATATTATTTACGATTAATAATGAATTCATGATTCTTTGTTAATAATATATTCATTGAAAAAATAATAAAGTGGACATAAAAACTTAAGTAGGAACATACCTAATGAATGATGTATTTATAATTTAACACGATATGATATATTATGTTAGAAATCTATTAAATCTTGTAAACCAGTTACGTGACAATTACGTGAGATCTTACCTATCCACTAGTATCAATACTACCAACATCAAACATAGAAGATAGGTCTATACTTATAAATCATGATACTAAAATAATGGTAAAAATAATTTTAAAAAATAGATCAAAACATTACAATACTAAAAATTATTTATATTAATAATTTATTATCATTAACTATTATATATTAGGTTAAAAAATTGTTTTAAATAAACAATGTAATATAAAACAACGATTTTCATTACTTCCAAAAGCCTAACCATATTTTTAACAACAATATAGGTTACCTATAGTATTTGCTGTAATATCATAGATATCTAAATGCTCTAGATAAGAATAATACCTACTACAAACTGTCAATTCGCAAACGCAAGTATCCAAACATTGAGGATTCACCTGAGTAAATAAATAGGGTACATCGTAACGTTTGAGCGCTTTGAACTGTTAGTTTTATGTTACGGGTAAACATACTCGTGTATAGATTATAATGATGTGATAATATAAAACATGCATATATTGTTAAAAATTTTAAAATAGGTCGTTTCAATGGCAAATATGAATATAACTAAGTATATTATAACCAACACCTATCACAAAAAAAAATTCAAAAAAAGCAATAGCTTATAAAAGTAAGTTGCGTAATTATAAACGATGGTACAAATTACAAACCGTATATCGTTATATTATTATTACGAGTACCTATTGTCAATTAGTATCACGTTAAAAAAAAAACGTACATATTATGTCTATATGTGATAATCATATTGTTGGATATCTACACCCATACAACAGTACGTATTATTATTATCATGGATCGTAAATTATATATGTATATTAGAGAATGGTTAGTTGGGCCAGCTCTCTATCAAGGTTATCATCACCGACAAATACACGATTCACACATTATATCCGATAAAATTGGTAAAATTTAGATTACAGTACAGAAAAACCGAAACGAACTGTTTTGTTTTGATAAGCCCGATTAGAAGTAAAGAGGCAGTAGAGAGAGAGAGCTAGAATACGATCGGGAATTATATTTTTACACCGCAGTTGACGTTTTTTGATCGGTATCGATATTCGATAATAGCTGCCATCCGCGTATTCATATTATATATACAGTAGAACCTCGATTATCCGGGGTAATGATGGGGAGAGGGTCACACGGATAAATGAAAATCACGGTTAATCGAGACTTTTTATAATAATGAAATTTTAAAAATTTTGATTCAATTGTAATTAGAAATATACATAAGAAGACGTATACATACAATAATGTTATACATACGTCCTACATCCATAATATTGTATACCTACAACAAGTTATTAGGGCTTAAAATATGAAGTTATCGTCAAAAATGTCATTAATACGATTGTCGATATCGAGTATTATGTTTAAAAATGTTCGGAAGAATGGGCACGGTTAATCGCAAACACGGATAAACGAGTCATGGATAATCGAGGTTCTACTGTAATATAAACGTTATCCAATATTATAATATTATATTATCGTTTGTCAAATTCCACAAATTCGTACAATACAGTGATCTGTGTAGGTAACCGTATAATAGCTTCGTCGAACAAATTCAGCACGCGGGTTCGAATTGTCATCCCTAGAAAACAGTCGTTTCCAAAAACCTCGCGAAAAATCCACAGCGTTCCAGTTTTCCAGAGGTAAGGCGCCTCTACGAGCCCCGTATTACTGCAACAGTCGACAGCCACTAGGTGAGATACTAGGTGAGGCACTAGTGCACCGCCGCCGCCAACACCGCCACCACCACGAGCTCAAACGCGCGGAAAACCGCAAGCGACAGGGGACACCTGACCCGAATATTACGTAAAAATAGACGATAGCACGCCGAGGGTATACCTACTGAAATTACACGATTTTGCCGTCGTCCGATACGCCCGAGAAACGATAACAATAAATGTAATGTTATGATTATTATGTGCCGAGACAATCGTTATTTTATACGTTTATTATTATAATGGGTATTATATTTAGTCACGGCGTCGCGTCGTAGGTCGGACGCGATTTCCAAAAACAATGGGACGAACGGATGCAATTACTGTGTTATTATTTTGTTGTTTTTTCTTTTTTTTTCCCCCCATAAAAACACTTTTTATCACAACCACTACTATTATTATTATTATTATTATTTATTGTTTGTCAGTTGTCTTACCTTGGCCATTTCGCCGAGACTGCGTGACGCGGCTATTATATGCGAACTACCAAGACTGCAGTTTTCTCCGCTGCGGGTTACCGCGTTGGAAAACTGTTAAAATCGCACACATACAAAATGATTCTGTAAACGACGAAACGGAAACGAAAAACAAATAATCGGATAGTTTGTCAAACGCCGTCTAAGTATAAAGCGACCGATTAGCCGCGAATAAATGTTTTATTATAATTTCAGATTGAAAAACAAAATCCACAAACGGGGTAGTGGAGAGGGTTTTGCATTGGTTGTTATAATTATCGGCGGCGGCGGCAGCGGATCACACGACGACACAGGCAACAACAATCGACACTGACACGGACAGCGGTGGACTGAGGGCGGTAGCGTCGTGCCGCGTCCGTCGTCGTCGACGCTGGAGTGAACGGCAGCGGGGTGGGGCGGGTCGGCGGCAGCGCGTTCGTTCAACGATCAATAAAACGGCGGCAGCGATGTTAGCGCGCGCCGAGCGTATGCGTTCATATACCTTTACGTATTGTTATTGTTATATGGGATAACATTATATTTTCTGTTTTTCGCGCAACTCTTCCCGCCAATATAATAGTAATAATAAGGATCGTCATAGATCGCGCGCCGAACACAATCTAGACTCAGCGCTCCGGGCGGACAACGACCGGTAGATCCTTTAATTTTTTTCATGGTCCACGTTTTAATTTTAAACCTTTCCGAGAGACAGACGAAATTTAGCATTAACGTGCCTATATTGTGTATAAATAGTGTAATAGATTATAATTTATAACCGTCAACGATATAGAGTCGACAAGTCCGTACCCTGTCAAAGTTTCGGGGTACAGTATATTACACAATATGTAATATTATGTTGTACAATATAATATATTTATATTATTTATTTGTTCTGACAATTCCTCTGTATTTCGATTTTTGTCGTCTTGTCGTGAGTCGAAGCGATTACGATTTACGAGTTATTTCCGAGTGTGTTACGGCCACCGCGTGATCTATACATACGTGATAGGTATTTTAAATAGACATTATAGGCTCGGTAGTTTTATGCGATCTTTAAACTATTACAATCAATAGTTATTTTACGATAAGATTTTTTCGCACGTTAAAGTACTATTATAGTCACACTGGTGGCAAATATCTTTACATAATAGTCTTTAGGAGGTACCTCTACAACACGTATTATAATGGCGTACGAGTGATTATGCAAACGACGACATCGCATTTTGTTATATTTATGTGTATAACAACATACTATTACTATGGAAAAACGCCGGGGAAATCGAAAAAATTCCAACAAAAAATATTCACTACTTTTCACATAATCGAGTATCATTATTCATTATTATATACGCCACGCGTAAGGTGTCCTTCATGCCGATCAATTATTGCCAACAAACGCGTGTGTAATATAATAATATCATATTGTAGGTACCTACCTAGGTTATATATTTGAAATAATAATATAAAAGTAACAAGTGGGGTACATGCCTACAAAATAAACTTCAATACGATAGCATTATGTTATATTATTTAGTTTTTATTTTCTCCTCGGAATATTATTATTTATTAGCCAATAGTCTATATTAGGTGTATGTTAATAATATTGCGTCGTTTTTTCCATTGCGGTTAACTAAAAATCTTATAATAATATTGCATTAGCCTTATTTGCACGAAAAACAATCCTGTAGAAAGGAATAATTTCTTGTTATTGGGTTTTTAAATTACCATCATTTTACTGAATGTGATATTTTTTTTGAAGCATTACGTCTGTTATTTTAATCAGAAATGTTCTACACAATCCAGTCAATAAATAATAAAATTAATGAGAGTGCTTTGAGGACTTAAATTATTTGTATTTCCTAGTAGTATTATGAAAAATCATGAAAATCCATAGAAAGATTCAAAAACTAGTATATACCTATGAGAATTAAAATATAAAAATAATAAAAAATTGTTACCAATAACCACTAATTTTATGAGTTAAGTAATAAATAGTCTAGTCATTGTAAGAAATATATTATTTTTAATAATTTGGGTTTTGTGTATCTATTAATATTTGATAAACGTTTCATAACATAGATAAAGTGTATAATATGTGATTCATCAAACATACTCACCCCAATGTATTACTTTAACGTTAAATTCATTCAAATTCTGATTTTTAAAATTTTAAACAGCTGATATACTTTAATACCATATTTTAAAGTATTTAGATTTTTATATAATTTAAGGAGTGTAGATGAACATTTATTTTTTTTGAATATGAATTGTAAAATTTTTATGTATAAATTATTTAAATCAAAATTTGAACGATTAGTTTCTCAGTAATTAAAATATATAATAAACTAAGAACTAAGATAAATAATCTTTAAAAATGATTTTAAAAAAATGAAGTATATTAATATGTAACATTAAATTTAAAATATTACTTATAATCAAACAATTTTTAGAAATATATTATAAAATGTCGATAGGTTATATCATAAATGAATAAATAAATAAATAAGAAATCATAATCCAAGTCTTTCAAAGCTATTGGAAACTACACAAAGTTAAACAATTTAAAAACTGATCAAACGAAATTTGATTTAGATATATCAACGTATTCAAAAAAGTCATTGCATTCACAGGATAAAAATATGGTTTACATTTGAAAAAGGTTTTTATATCGCCCCAAGACACAATATCATATTGTGTAAGACCTAAACCTATATTATGAAAAAATTAAAGTATCTAAAAATCCAATATTAACTTTAAAAATCCAAAATGTTATTATTGAAGAAATAATGGAAGTAATTAGGTTCAGTGAATCACTCTATATATATTATTACTACCTATACAATACATTATAATACTATCCGTAACGGTTGAATACAATATATATTTATACTTACATTGTATTGTATAATATTATATTTCAGAGAACAGTGTCCACTCAGGAATACCAATTATCGTACTATCGTATTAACATACTATCTGAATAGAAAAATAATTTAAAATTTGATACATTCAAATTAAAATGTTTACAGTATGAATATTATTTCGTTTTTGAGAATAATCTATTATATGAAGAACAAAAAGTTATACACTAACTCATTAAGTTTATTTATATGTACTATTATCATATTATGTATTATTTATGTTCTCTTAAGAGGTTAATGGATTTTAATATTTTATACATGAAAAATAAATATTAAGTACCTATAAATACAATATTTATGCTCATCAGTAATATATTATTTTTCTTCAAGGCTTCTTCATTATATGACGAGTGACATTAAATACTGTCCCCAAAAATAACATTTAAATGTCCTATAAAGTTATGTTTGATTAATAGCAAGTTAGATATAAAACCATAAAAGTACTAAAAATAGTATTCAACAAAAAAATATTTAATACATGATCATTGTTTTAGCGATATTATATATTAATAATATATTATTTAAACATAGATACTTATAAACTAATATATTATGTATAATCGGTTTCAAAAATAATTTTTTTTATACTTTTTAACTTTATACAAAACAAAATTTTTGAATACAATTTAAATTTATTTTTAAAATTTTTATCTGATTTATTTTGACTTTTTAATTATTTGAATTAAAACATATTATACATTAATTCATATTCCTATAGATAGAATATTTTTCTGAAAACGTTGACAAATAAAAATCAAATTTATAACGAGTATAGTTATAAATTTATAACACTATTAAATTAATTTTACATACAATATAGTGACAAGCCAAAAACATATTAACATGATTGACATAAAAAAAAAAAATTTCAACTATTATGTTATAACTTATGAGGTACCTATTTACTCTTTCCCCCTAGGTAGATGACATACTAGACTATCCTGTATATAAGATATCGTAGAAATGCAGAGATATCGATTATAAATATCGATAGCTAAGGTTTTAGATTCAAAACTGCTGGCCGGAGATTATTTGGTGACAAAGCAATAGATTTTATGCGAATCGAGGACAGGGTGGTTACAAACCAGTACCCTTATAATTTATAAGTGTTAAAGTTTATATGAGCGGAATAAATAGTAGACCAACATTTTAAGAAGTACCCCAGTATTACTCCAGTATCATTTTATTTTCAAAAATATTAATGCTTTTTGAAATAATAAAAGTTTAGTTTAAAAAAATAACTCAGTATAATATTATATAATCAATAATAATATACAGTAAAAATGTTTATATTAACATTTAAATATTTATGAAAACGATCAATGTTAATTGATTGTCGTAAAATAGAAAGTGATAGTTACTTATTGGTTTTATGTGCACTTGTAAATCTATTAACCCTCGATTTACCAAAACTAATGTTTAATAATTATGCATTATACAATGTAAGTATCATATATTGAATTTTTTTATTTACTAATAACCAATAAAAAAATAGTTTTTATAATTTATTGGTACTAAAAATATATCTGTAAACATATTTATTATATTTAGTTACAAGTTACATGCCCTGTAAAAAATGTTATTTGTTGAACATTTAACTTTGGCTACATAGTACATTTCAATGTATACTTAATCACATAAAAAAATAAGATAGAAATTTATATCTATAAAACATAAAATAAATTAATTTCCAAAAAAAAAAATGTATTGAAATTTATTACATAGCTTATGTACTGTAATAATATCCTATCTGTCACGATATTCAAAAATATATTTTTATACTTATTTGCTAAAGCCCAATCACTAAATAATGAACTACAGCAAGTTATCGTTTGCGACATGACAGCGTAATATAATAAATTTATGTCTCGATTTCTATATATTTATACATTATTATATTTTTGATGTATATATGCTATAGGTATCGTTAAAATTATTTCATCTATAGATTCTTAGACTTCAACAGAAATGACTATTGGTCTGTAGTCGGTTTGTATTGTGAGGGAGGGTACAGTTTTTGAAACATTTATATATATATAGTGAAGATTTGTCACTAAAACCCGGATTTTGATCAACTATCCGGGAGCTAGCGACACCCGGCTAATGCTTGATCTCAGAACATGTTAGCTGAGGCAAACTACCGTGCTATACCAGGCCAATTTTTATAATTATTATTGCAGTTATTATGCAGTTTCGTCTCGTATAATTAAAATAGAATCGATTGCGATAATATTTTTAATAATATTGTGACTAGGTTATTGATATATAATGATTAAATCATGCCTGTAATTATTTCTATAACAGGTTACCAGAAAAATAATTACTACATGACGCACGTTCACGTCATATAAAATAGTAATAGAATACATTTTATTCACATTATATGCAATGACATTTAATATTATAATAATAGAATTTTCATATCATTATTCACTACCTATACGTCATTAATCATTATTATTTAATAGCACTAGCTATCCCCGTGCATTTTGTTCCATGTACAAAATGTATCAGTGTTAAATTTGGTTGCTTAATGCTAATGTGAGTAGATAAATAATATTTTTGGTCTTCTTGTGTATAGATGATAGTGATACTTCCTACATATCTACTTTAAATAGAATAAGCATTAAAATAGGCTTAAAATTTGCTTCGAAATGTACTCATTCATTAAAAAAAAAGAAAAGATAATTAGTCTTTAGAGAACATGTGTGACAAAGATTTCCGTTTTCATTTTTGTATACATAATATATAGATATAAGTAAAAAGGTAATTTATTATTTATTGATTGTATTTATATTGTTAACTTTAAAATGTAATAGTGCAATTAGGTGAGTTTAGGAAACTTAGCTCCAAGTATAAAATTAGCTCCTCCCTGAATAAGACAGAAAAGTTGTGGTTAAATATCTTTAAAATTGGTTTGTTTCAAAATAAATTTATACGGGAATCTTATATTAAATTATTAAACTATAGTTATAAAAATTGAACATTTTATACGTTTTTAATAATAATATAATTTGCAAACTTCATTGTTTTAATATATATTTTATCAACATTTAAGCTTCAAATGTGGGTATAAAATTATAATACAACCACTTATTGAAAATTTCAAATATCTGCGGTTATTGGTTTTTGAGTTACAATATAATTAGAAAGTTAATTTTGTCAAAAACTGGTTTTGTGTAAAAATGTTCATTTTTCTTATTTTATTTCTAAATTTTTAAGAACAGTATTGAAAATTTTAAATTTAGATACCTTTAAGTACTAACCAGAAACTAAACTCATTTTTCTACCAGAAATTATATAGAAGTGAAAATATAAGCATTTTTGCTAACAAATCATAAATTAATTAATTCTAAATATTAGTATTAGACTATAACATTTTAATTGAATTCGACATCTTTGCTGAACAATTTTAATTTGTCCTAATTCATTAATGATGTACAAAAGTTTTCTCAATTCACTACAAATATCTCCCATTTTTTTTATTTTAATACGAGTTAGCAAAAACGCCTATTTTATTTCTAAATACTTATGAAAATACTATACAGCTAATTTATGTTTGTATGACAATAGTCATATCATCCTACGCTTTATACGTTCTTTTCTGAATTATATCATTTGTAATAAATGACATAGATAAAATAATAATTCAAACATATTTTATGAATAATGAATTAACTCGGCTTCTGACAGCCGAATTATTTACACTATGTATAATATTTAACAAAAAAATTATGATTTTAATGTAGGTAATTATATACACTATTATATTAACTATTTTATTAGACAATATTCAGCTTTAAGTATAATTTCAGATCTAGAACTGAAAACTTGACTATATAACTATCATTATTTTCGCTTAAATTAAATGCAGGTACTAGGTTGTATACAATTTTGAATATTTTCTAGGTAATAGGTATTATTATAGATAATAATTTAATTTAAAAATCATATATTTATTACAAATATCAAAATATTATATAAAACTAAAAATAGTAATTTATTAACGTCAATATTAATCACACCAAAAATTAAAATATTTGAGCTTATATTTTAAGGTAAGACGATAACATAGTTTGAAATACATACACAATAATATTATGCATTTATTAATTCGAACTATATACGTACGAGTATTAATATTATGTAATTAATTATTGAATTGATATATTATAACTGATATTATTTTACCTGATACTCTGCTAACGATTTACATCACGCACAAAATGTTTGCCTACTTGAGCTCCTTATTAGCATAAAAATATTTTTTTATGATCGATAATGACGAGTCAGTGCTTTGCGTGTGTATCTAGAGTTAAAACTTTTTTAATTAAGCTTTCGACTAAATAAAATAATTAACTGCAATAATAAAGTACGTTTGATACTTTTGTTTTTCAATTTTAAATTTTGGAATCAAGAAAGTAGCGAATGGAATTTTCGTCATGAATCGTAACCTAACCTACGGTACGAATTAATAATAATTAATAGTATATTATGTATGATGTATGTCATACATTATTATTTATTAAATATGCATATATGTATATAAATATAAATATATAATATCATACAAAAAATGTTTTATTTTAACTTTTATATTTTCTAAAATACAACGCAATGACTATTTGCTGCTATAAATGTATAATATTTATACTGTTAATTAATATTGTATATTTGTCGTGTTGCATAATAAACTATTAATTTTATTTGTATTCGTATTAACTAACTTAATAATTGTCACAAAAAAAAAAAAAAAAAATAAAAAAAAATTGTTTATACTTATTTATTATAGGTTGTCTAAATATTTGCTTATTTTGAATTAAAACTGTGTATTCATTATATACAGATATACGTAAGTAAATAATGAACTATATTAAGCGATTATCAATAAAACTACTTATAATTTAGGATTTAGATGAAGCTACAAACATCGCTGCATTGGAGCGTTTGCTTGTAACTTAAATTTCCTATTTATTTAAGTGTTTCCGTTTATCATTCATTTTAACACGGAGCGTTGGTGCTGTATCAAATTTATCAAACTTCATCATGTTTTTCATATTATTTTGTAAAGTTTTCGTACGTAATAATAAAATATAAATTACTGATTTTACATGACTTAATCGTCAAAGTTATTATCGTATGTGCACAGTATCAACTTAGCTAAATATACCGTATTGGGTTGTTGCTGTTGTTACGTTCCCGTTGTAATTTATCGTTTTTCTATTCGTATACTAGATTACTTATGCTGAATCCCTCGGGGTATCACGTCTCTGCAATATATAGCATTGAAAGTGTAATAAAATATTAAACCATTGTGCCACAGGCTATTAAGTTATTACAGGGTAACTTTGTGGAAGGCAAAATAAATTAAAAATTGTGTATATCCAGAGATCTGATAGATACAAGTGTAAACGCATAATTGTTTCGATTTAAATAGGGCCCGCCGGTGTGCGATGTGTAGGAACTATATTATACTTGCGATGAAAAAACATGATTGTTTTTACATGATTTTAATAGGTAAAAGTTTTATTTAAATAATCACGTACAGCGAAAATGTCAAAACATAGCATGAGTCTGATTCATATTCGTTTTGGATGGATTTATAAGTATATAAGTGTTAAAGAATAAAATATTATTATGATTTGTTATACTTATACATGAATCAATTATTACTAAATGCACACATAAATATTTAATAGATTCATAATATCATTACTTTTGTCCACAAGTTTCTTTCAGTTCGACATCCATAGCTTCATTCTGTGTCGTTGACATAGATAGATCCGAATATGAATGGATTTTTCTGAAAGCCTAAAAACCAAATATATGCAATTGAGTAAGCAATATATATATATATATATATGATATTATATGAATTTGTATTACATAATTATTTTATAAAAATATATTATGATTTAAACGTTTATAAGATTCCGCGGTTAATCATTTTATCTCGATTTGGTAATAGAGGGGTACAAGGACACTATGATAATTTTTTGTATTACTGCAGTCTACCACACACAGGGTAATTTTGGGTGTATTAGCTTTTGAGATGATAGTGAAATAATTGTTTTACCAAAACACCATTTCATGAAATGTTACATTATAGGAATAGCGTACGATATGGGACTTAAACAGAGTTAATTTATATACCAATTTATCAGTTTATGGTTTCAGAGTACAGACGCCATTGTATTTATAAGAGAAATATGTAGCTAAGTTTATTATATATTATTGTTTTTGACGGTAGATACCTGTGCTTTTCTCATACTTTCCACAGCTCCGTAAGTGGGGTTGTCAAACGAAGTTTTACGTTGCAATCGAACGTCTTCGTCGATTAGTTCCACTGCATCGTTGGTGTCGTTTTTAAATTTTACGAACACGGGGCCAGTACTAGATCTGGAACCCGACAAAAGCGATTTCCTGTGTAAAAATAAACGAATGTTTATCATTAAATTGTATAGTATATTATTATGTACACATAATCTACAGAGTGATTCTTTTATCATAAATTATAAAAAATACAATTTTATTTTTATTTTTTAGAACAAATACTAGTAATTATTGTATAGACAAATGTAAAATAATGATAATTAAAACACTTAATTGTATTTCATAAGATATTTTCTGGTTCAGGATAGAAATTCTTTTATAAATAATGCTATACGTTTATGCGAGTACATTTTATAAACCATTAAGCTGGCTGGCGTTTCTTGACCTTTGTAATTTATATTTATGACCTAATATTTGCCCAATTTTTAGAGCGACTCTGTGGAGCCGAAACGTTACAAAACAAGCGGGTAGTATAAGTATGAGTGACAAAATTCATTATATGTGCACTCACTCGCGACCCACGCATACTATTCATCGTTCCTTGTCTTATCTGACAGAATATTTTACCGAAACAATATTATTGTAGATATATTGACAAAAAGACAAAATCATAGCAGATTTCAACGATAATACAAAAAATCAATTTGATTAATATATCGAAGCTAATAGCTATACTTAACTATGATATACCAGCTATTTATACTGCAGTTAAAATATACAATAGGTACTATAAATAGATAAGTACTAAAGTATCACGAAAAATCACTGAAAAAAAAGTTTTTCCAAATCAATCGTCTTTGATATATCAGTGTATTATGATTTTATGAGATGTGTTTTACGCTATTGTTCCAAATTCTCCTTCCATTTCTCTCCCCCCCTCCCAAATACTAAAATAATACTGGTATTCAAAATTTCAATTAATCAAAGCTTACTATTATTCAATACCGTTTTTAAAGAGTTATATTTAGAATATTTTGTAAATACGTACTGTATACATACGTACAAAGTTACACACTAGTAGAAGGTAAGCGATAATAATTGTGTATTTCTACATTACATAAGTACTGTATCAGTTTAATGTAAAATAGATATTGATACAAATTATCCAATTTATAGCCAATAAGTAACCAATATTCATTGCAAAAAAAAAATTTGCTTATAAATTTGATCCATCATATGCATACAACAAAGTTACAATTTTTTTCATAAATCATCTTATTTAAATGATTTTTTTTTAAATTCTAATAAATAATATTAATCACTGTTTATGCTAATTCTTAAAACTCTATACAAATTAATTAAATTAAAAGCGAAAGTATGAGTTAAAATTTTAAAAATATAGATAAATATGTTTTCAGATTTCTTATTACCTACATCATTAATCAGTATACGATGGATAAAATATAGGTATGTTTAATTTAAAAAGCAGTCAAGTATACCCTTATTAATTCGATAATTCTAAACATTCTCTAATTCTCCAATGCACGAAAATACGTAATATGTATATGTTACGCCGAATTTATGAAATTGCTGATTACATAAAATCGGCAGAAAAATTACCAATTTCATGAAATCAGTAATGCTATAGCCGAAAACATGAAATCAGCAACTTAAAGTACTTAATACTGCCAATTGCGTAAAATCGGCAAGACCCTTCTTAAAAAATTATAAAATATAATTTAATATAAATAAATATGTTATATCTTACATAAAAAAATAGAAAATATAATAAAATCTAATCGTAATAATAAATTATGTATAAAAAAAGTTAAAACAATAAATCGAAAATCGTAAAGTTATATTAAGTGTTTTAAGTTATATATTTATATTTATAAATTTTGGCAACTACGGCCAGGGTGGCACGCCGAATTACACATCATGTCATTTTTTTCTAAATGTGTATTTTTTTGATGTACGATTCGTATGGCAGGTACAACGTCGATATTCTTGTCTGGTCCCAACTGACGCCAACCCATTTGTAACAGTGGCATAGATAAAAATTTAAACGTGGTCAAAAAGACTGTGGTACGACTAAGGCCGGGTTAAAGATAATGGTGTGGTAATGACAATTAGCACCCGTATAATTATTGATAATTATTTATATAGTTATCACTATTTGTAATGTCATAATAATGTGTTACCGAATTCATAAAATCAGCAATCAAAATTTGTCAATTTCGTGAATTTGGTAGCTAAGTTGCCAATTTCACGTTTTCAGCAACAGCGTTACTGATTTTATGAATTCAGCAATTTTTCTGTTGATTTCATATAATTGCTAATTTCATAAATTCGGCGTAACATATATATCTGTATCCGGTAGGCATGTCATTTAGTCGCCAATAAAACTGAATATATTTCATTTTTTTTTTTTTTTTTTTTTTTTTATTTTATTGTTTTGATTTTTTTATTTTTAAAATCTAAAAATTTAACATAAAAAATACTATATAATATATACGTTAGTGGCCTATATAAAAATTTCACAAAGTTCGAAAGACACTGACGATAAACCAGTGAAGTTTTTTATTGGACGCTCATGGTACTTATTAGTTATTTATGTTATTCAGAGAAACCTAACGACCGTTTATAGTTTTTCATTGCTAGTTTGATCATTAAAAATCATTATTATTAAAACACATAATGTATGATTATGTTTTACCAGTCTTTGTTGTAGTAAAACATAATTGCCAACAAGCAGGTAAAGATGATAATGCATGTGGTTAGGGCTATTTGACCGTATGTCATCCCGTCAGCGTCATACGACAGCCCTGAGTTGAACATTTTCACATCTGTCACGCCCTGATCTGTAAAAAACAATACACTATAATCAATAAGTAAACACAAATTGCATCACTAAAAAATTAGATCGATGAATTATTGTAAATCTATCGTTTACAAAATAATATAAGTACATTTTTATATTAACTATATTATAGTGTATTGTATATTAGTATCTACTTAATAATACTATTATAATTTATAGGTATGTTCCAAAATTTATCTAATGTTTATTTGTGATAAATGAATACAATGAAATTTGATTGTTTCAACAGTTATTAATAAAACATTTTTATTTAATAATAACATAAGTTTTAAAAAGAAAATTATATTTTTGAGCAATTTAATTTGTTAGATTATATTTACTATAATATTTTTAAATAATTCAATAAACATATATTAAAATTGAGTAAAAAATAATCAAGTATGAAAGTAATTTTAATTATTTTTTCAGAATAATAGCGTAATTAAATGTGATTATAGAAATATGAAATTATGATAGAATATTTTTAAATTGTATACTGCAAGCTTTTATAGATAAACATAGATCAATAAAATTTGCATTATAACGAGATTGATTTAGACAAATGACACGATTTGTTTAAGTATTTTGCTTATACCTATAAAATGTATAAAAATATATCACTCTAACAATACCGAAAACTTAACTTAAGCTAATTTTATAATTTATTACTCGAATTTAATAAAACAATTTAATTACTAGAAAAAGAGTAATAACTATTTCGAAAATTAAAAAAAAATATTTTTATTGATAAAATGTCATTTAAAAAATAGAAGGTAATATTAAATTCAATATACGTATAAATTTGGTATTCAAATTGCAAAATATTCATAGTTTTTTTTTTTTTTTTTAAATTATTAAGGCATTCCTAGCAAAAAAACTATCTAAGCCTATTGATAATATTCATAGTAAAAGTTGTCCAAGATCTCGTAAAAATGAGGAAATACATAGAGTAATAATAAAATAAAATATAACATTAAAAATTAAGAAATAAAAAATGTCTTTTATGGTACAAAATACTTAATATTAAAGAGATGATGGTATTTTAATAATCTTTTAGTTCCAATGCCATAGAATTTTTGAACGCCAGCGTCTTTATTATTGACGTTATATATTGTGGATATAATATTATACATGGAAATTATGGCCACAGCTTTTCGTTGCTTTCGTCGTCATATACACTGTTAGTCCAACGATAAACATTTCAAAAGTGACTAAACTATATAATTGAATACCGTTAAAAATTTGATTTTTAAACCAGAATTTTAGAAAATTATAAAAAAAATTTATATCAAGTTTATCCAAATAATAATAAAAAAATAAAATATTGTTAAAAATAATATTTTAATGATATAAAAATTAAAAAAATGTTACCCAGCTGTATGTTTTACATATTATATTATTTTATTCATAAATTGTGTCAGGTTATTGAATAGTTTAAAAGTTTGATTATGTTTAAAACTAAATAATTACGTATTAGATTCTCGTGTTCGAATCATAATATTTTGAAATTTTGATGTTTACGTCTATTAGTATATCTGAATATATTATGATATGATAATAATAATAATAAATAATAACTTACAAGAAATTAACAACGAGTGTATGTTTTTAGCTATTTCGTTTATTTCGTCTACGTATTTTATACTACTCGCCAATACGACTTGGATTTTTCCGTTTAACAGTTTACTCATGTAATAAAAAAGTTGATATTTTTCAAATGTTGAGTTTAATTTTTCTATGTCTTTTTTAAATTCTTCGCTGAATTTTTCACCAATAAATTTGTTTGGGTTGTAATTAATTAGGAAATAAGCTCCTGGAATCAAAGCAAACAAAAATAATGAACACAATTTTTTCAACAACACTGATTATTTACTATTGCTATGTATCAGTGGTGATTAATATGACTAGGTTGCGGGTTGGGTTGCACAGATAAATATATTCTTAAAAAATTTAAATTCATAACAATAATAATAAGTAAATTTTGATTTTATAAAAAAAATCATGCACGAGATCCACACGTGGCCCACGAGTCGCAAGTTGGCTAACCCAGCAGTATGTATATTAGTTAGGTACAAAAAATTTTTTTTAAATAGAAACATTTACTTTCTCGAAATGAACTAAAATATTTGAATTTTTTTTTTTTTTATTAAGTATAATATGACGAAGTTTTTAAAAACACAATTTTTGAACAAGATTATATTTTTACTATTTTTATCTCATAATTTGTTTTAACTTATAACCTATAATTTTTATCTAAAGGAAAATATTTTTTTCGTATTTGTATACACATAATATGAAAATTGGATTTTGAACAACTAGTTAATTAGTTATAATTAAATGAATATTTAAAGTTAAGATTATGTAAAAAAATATTTTTATTCATGTTAATTTTTTTTTTTTTTGTGTGTATTTAGGTACTTTTAAAATAATAATCTTGTTTACGCACACACACATAGGTATATGAATATGCAATATATTACTGTTAAATTTAATTCACAGCTCAAACTGAATAAATTAATACATCATCAAATTAAGGATAATGATATTATTGTGTATTAAAAATCTCACCACAAGTCCAACAACAATGACCAATCGGTTTCACTGGACTTATGCAACCTAATTTACTATCACAGCGTTTTGAAGCCACTTTGCATACTTGGTCAAAAAGTTGTTGAGTACCGCATTCACATCCTGTATTATCTTCGCAGAGCGTCGAAGTTAATGTTATGGACACATCGTTATCAACGGAAGAACTCTTCAGTTCTTGATCACCAACGTCCGACAAAAGAAATTCGTTCAATTCACTTTGACCAAAAGTCTATAATATTATATTAATTATATTAATGTGCAATAGCAAATGTTCCTCCATGTCTATAGATTTGCGATACTACTTTTACAAATTAATAATTTTTTTAAGCCAAACACAGAACTCATTATTACTACTATATACTACTAAAATACATATGTTATATTTATTATTACAACTTATGCTCGAGTCTTACGTGATTAAATAACATAACGTATTACTATTTACTGCGTTTTGTGAGCCTATATAGAATGTATAATTTATTGTTGAAACCACGAAAAAGATACTATATCCATTTTATTATAATATATTATATATTATATTTTTCCAAGGCCTGAGGGGTTACAATATCATAGCCATTCTGCATGCATGCGATAAAATTTACTATTATTATAATTATAATTAGATCGTTATTTATAAATTGTTAACCAAACTATATAATCCGCAGAGAATTACGAGTATGTATATATTTAAGTGTTTAATTTTTGCTTTCATAATAATTACCAAAGATTACCTCTAGTTTTATGACTATAAAAAAATATTCACTGTTAACATTTTTCAAATATTTTATATAGGTACCTAAGTCTAACTTAGTTTAACAAAAACTTAATATTGCACCGTTACGTCTAAATTAATGTTAAATAATATTAAATATTATGTCAAGCTTTGTATTTTTGTACAAGAATATAATTTTCATAAAGAATTAGTATAAAGTATTCTGTTTATTAATATTATATTATTAATTGTGTAGAGGTCAGTTGTGAGATAATAAATTTGAATACAACGAAAAATCATCGCTTTCGTTTGCTCTCCTAAATCTCTTTCTATTTTCTACAGAGGAATTCTAAATTCTTCAAAAGAATTCTAACGGTTAAATAAATAAAAATTACAGTGATGCGAAAATAATACGATATGCATCAATTTATTCGCATACAGAATTTGCATGGAATATCGTGTGATATTTTTTTTGAATTTAAATAGTTATGTATATTTATATATATAAAATCAAGTTTGGGAGATGGGAAAATAATTTTTTTAATTTCATTTTTGGACCACTTCACTAAGGTTAGGTTAGATCTTAATGGTGACACCCCGTATACTCACAAATTCATCATAATTTATAAATATTATTGTCGTATCATACGAATAACGATTTATCTTAAATATACAGTTTTAAACGACGGCTAATTGTAGTCGACTCGAACTCACTTGGTTCCCGAACTTCATTGATCCAATGGTAATCGGGACGTCAGGCACGATGACCGAAAACGAATGACCAGGGTTGAACACGACGGTGTCGTGCACGCACGGTATCCGTTCCACATGTGGCGTTGCTATGTTAATATTTTCATTTGACCAGTTATCCGGATCCACCCATTCCATCGGGGTGTTTCGTTTAAACATCACAGCTGCAAATATGCATAATGATAATGAAATGAGCAGTTAAAAGTACTGTGTCTACGTAAATGTGGAAAAATATATTAAAGATCGACCAAGGAAGGAAATAAAAATTAGTTTTACTGCTTTCTCCCCGTTCCCCCCAAAAAAGTTTATGTAAAGGGATGCCATTACAATAAAAATTATAAATTTTAATTGTATTATAATAATAGTTTAAATATATACATAATATTAGTTGAATGCATATTTTATTTATATTTAATATAATTGATATACATAACAAGTATAAATTAAATAATTCGAATATTAATAATACAATAATTAATATAAAATATTATAGAAAAGAAATAATTTGTTGTAATTCGGAACATAAACTAAACGGTTAGTGAAACGTTGAATGATTTTAATTTCATATTTTTACTATCATTATAATATGCTTTGCAGAAACAATTAATATGTTTTATTAACATTTTTTTCATACAAAACTTCTATTATACTTTAAAAATGCATCTTACATATTTATTATACGAGGTTTTGAGCATATTGTATATATTATTATACTTATTGGTGCATTTTTTAATGAATATTTAGTCTTACAAGAAAATTTCTGGATTATACATTTTTATGGTTATTTTTTATTTAGTTCAGAGTATTTTTGTTGTTTGTCAATTGTCATTTATTATCTGTTTTAATAATAATAAACGATAAACGAGTTATAATATGACAATTAATTAGATAAAATGGCATGCATAAATAATTATTAAGTATAAACTATTTTGATTAAATATTCATGACTAAAATAAATTATTAGGTAGTAGGTACGCATATAGTTCAAACTTGTATGCAATAGTTTATAAGTAATTTACTATAAATTATGAATAAAATGATTCACCAAGCATGCTCACTTCCTTTTATCCTTTAATAATGAATATAATATTATAATTCTGGTTTTAAAGTACCTAGTTGGATTTTCTTTTCATATAAATTTTTACATATAAATAATATTCCACAATATTCTGTGGCAATGTGAATTTCTTTTTTTTTTCAATTGAAAAGCCATACTTTTTATTGTAAATTGTTAGGCAGATGGTTTTCTTTGAAAATATTGACGTATTTAAATCTAAATTCGAATCAGTTATTTAGATATTTTTATTAAAGCTGATGGTATAACATCAAACATGTGATTTTTTTTTTATATTTTGTCTTTTTTTAAAAAAAAAAACCACAAAATAAAAATTTAAAATAATTTATTACGTACCTATATTTGAAGTGAAGTATTACACTGTAATTGTTTTTTTTTAGTTTGGAAAAATTATTTTAATACTTAACAAGTTTAGTCGAATACTTAAAGTACTATTAATAACGGTTGTAACAGAATGTAAGGGGCTATTTAATTTATTTGCTACAATCGATACTTAAATAAAATCAATAATGTATCTGCCAAGACAAACAATTAAATACATATAATATTATGTAAAGGCAAATATCAACTATAATAAGTAGTTCAAAAGTTCAAACTAAGTTTAAAATTAAAAAAAAAAATAATAACTAAACATTAACTAATTAAAGTATCCATTGTATTAAATTAGAATTATTTTCAGTTAATCTGAAAAAAAATATATAGAGTTTAAATCAAGTCGATAAACTCAATAACCAACAACCGTATAGGTAGTTTAAACGATTTTATTATTATAATTATTATTTAATCATACTTTTAATAAAATTAACGGTTTTAAAACGTGTAGGTAATACATTTTTTATAAACTAATAAAAAGGATTAGTAAAATGCATGTTAAATTAAATATTCAGAGTCATCTATTATTAAAAAAAAAAAATTCAAATCACCACGAATGTTACACAAAAAGTATTTACAAAAACTTACTAACCTCTTTTGAACTAGATTGAGTTCACATTTGTCTCCACAGTGACACTTAAATCACTCAGAGTTAAACAATATAGGTATACATTATATTAGCTATTTACTTTTCACTTAACTTCCTTGATGTCGACTTGAACTTAAAGTTCAATATCCGGAAGCCAAAAGACCGCGCACTAGTGGTGATGCAGGAAATAGATTGAAATACAGATCAAACAAAAACGATCGTATATTAATTTACCGATGTATCATTTTGTACAGTTTGGTTTTAGAGCGGTGACTTTTCCGCCGCAACGTATTATAATCGAAAATCATGACATACGATTGTATGCAAAGGTTGCGCGAAACGAAAAGTCTGAGCACAGCCGTACATAATAATTTTCATATTATATCATTATACTCACTCTGTCCCGTGCAACCGCCCATCGCTTGGGACGACGCGGAGATGACGACGTGGGCGTTGGGCTCCAAGATCAGCTGACCATTGACGGGCAACACGACCTCGCACACGTCGACACCGACGGCCGGCACCACCACCGGGACCGAAGTGTCCTCCTGGAACACGGCCACGTCCACGGACGACGGGACGTGTTCCGCGTCCCAGTTGTGCGCCGCCTCGAAATCCACGTCGGGCGTCCACCGCTTGGCCACGCCGCCATACACGGTGCCATCTGCGAACGGTTTTCGTAAGGGAAATCATTTAAACAACGCAAATATTAACAACGTCCTTATAAAACGGTTTTCATATGATGAGATGCTATTGTGCTTGACGACTGGTTTTATGCGATAAATCGACAATATATAACTCTGTTTTAACAGATTCGTTTAAACGTATTGTTTGTATTACAAATAGCGTTGACCTGTCCTCGAAAATAGGTAATTGAGGAAAATAAATATTTATTTTTTACGGTTTTGCAGAGTTTCGAAATTTTTGATCATTCGAAAATAATTTTCATTCAATTGCTTTGAACTTAAATACTATTATGTAATTAATAAATGAGTTATAGTTTTAATTTTGAATTTCAAAAAATGGCTATTTGCATACTTGGCTAACATTTCTCGTTGAAAGATTTAAGATTTTTTATTTGCACGTATTTTATCGATTTTGACTTTTAAACTTTCGAGCCCAGTATCATATTATTATAAACAGTAATTACATGATATTTCATGAATCACGAACTAGGCGACTTAATAATAATATTGATATATGTGAGCCGATTTTCGTTTTATGAATTATTCTTATGCACGGGGCGCACCTGAAAACGATAGGAAAGCTGCCACTACGACGATTGCTGTCGGCGGCATCTTTTTGTAGGTTACGATCGTAACGACAGCAACAGAATTAGGGACTGAAACAGCAACAGAGACTGCAACAAATATATAACTACCACGTCGACATATTAATTTATTAAAATATTATACTCTATCAACTATCGTTGTTATATTTGGACGCGGGCGCGACTCGAATGTTATTGAATCAGACTTGTCTTGCTCAAACGATCTACGAACACTGAACGGTCTATCACAAATCATTATTATTTTTTAGCGCGGTCGGTTGTGGGTGTCGATCCTGCCTGCAGCAGTAGAAACCGCGATAACTCGTGATGCATATTATACATCACACATAGAGTTCGCACCACTGTTACACTATACAGAATGGTTCACCAATCATGCATAATCACATATCAAAGAATAAAATGAAGGTTTATTCGTTGATAATGCATTCCTTAAAACTTTGATTATTATAATTTTTAGATATACTTTAGAAGACCGCATTTCCTAACACTTGATTTTATTTAAAGTTTAAATCATTTAAGAAGTGTCGATACAAACCAGTTTTTTTTTCATAAGAGAACTTCTCTTTTTACAGTAAATTATTTATATCAAAATTTATTTGAAAATGTTGACGTGTCTAAATAGAAATTCAAACGAATAGTTTTTAAATTATTTTCTTTGTATAATACTAAGCCTCTAAGGATAATATTATCTTTTGATAATGATTTTACATAAAATATAAAATGTACCTATGTAAGATTTAATTATTGTATTTATTGTACTCGGAGAATTTTTACAAATGATTGTATACAATGCTATTTAGTAGTTACCATAATTTCAAAATAATCAAGTCTCCTCCCTTTTAAGTCACATTCTAAATCTATATTATCATAATAAAATATTATACTTTTTAACACGTACAATAAATATCTAGTATATTTAATAAAATAGTCTTCAATCATACTTAAATATCTTTTGCATAAATTCTAAGAATCACAATTTAAATAAACGTATTATTAAAAAAAAAAATTGTATTTCAAATGAAAATAATTAAATTGTAGTGAACATGCTTAGTGAATTATCCTGTATATATTATGACAAATTTAATCATATTTTTAACAGCCGTCGACGTGATTATGGCAAAATGACACAATAATAAGTAAAATTATGATCAACGTTTAACACATGGCCAAAAATAGTGTATTAAAAATTAAAATATAAAAACTGTACAAAATAATTTAATATGAAAATATTACAATAATACAACATAATAATATGATCCGATAAAATTTTTTCCCCACACATTTTTACCCAGCGGCGTGCCAAGAAGTTTTCAACGGTGGGTTATGTTGTCTTATAAGTAAACACACATTCAAGTCAATTATGGTCGCAGAATCAAAGACTCGATTAGCAAGCTTTTAGAAGTTAAATTTTTAATATAGTTAGTTATTACTATGGACTAAGATATAAGTTATGAGAATATCATAATATTCCATATTTACAATCGTATATAATAATATGTAGAATATATATGGCTAAATGTTATATCTAAGTCTGACTACTGTATAAGTATTATAATATTAAGGTACGTTTTCTGGGCAACGACAGACTGTTCATAGTCTAGACGCCGACCATATCCGATATTATCGCCAGACACTCCGGAGAAAACGTATTGTTGTTACGGTTTGGAGCATCTGTTAATAATAAGTAATAATAGACACCATATTTGATAACATTTTTTGTATGAACTCTGTATAGATAAATTATAAATTTTATATATACAGTAACATAGAGCATAAGATTATAGTAGGTTGAGATACAAAGAAAGTTTCAAAAATATTAATTATTACTAAGATAGAGCTACTGTCATATTTCCATACATATTGCTAGCCACTCAGACTTCATATAATTTTGATTTTGAGGAACCGAATGAGTTGCGAATTTCAAAACTCGTCATACAAGCGGCCGCGGTGATCGCGGTACCGGTGGTCGTGACAGTGGTCCGGTCGATTTCGTTGTCCAACAGAGCCTTGACGACAGCTAAATGATGTGACGACGGCGAGACGGGTAACGCGGGCGCCCGAACCATAGTCGGCGGCGGTTGTTTGCTCTCGGCCACCGCGTTGCCTGGGACGTCCGGCGACGACGACGACTGTCGCTGAACATCGCTCGCCGTGGCCGGCCACTGTTGGTAAGGCGGCGGAGTGAGCATCGGCAGCGGAGTCCTGGGCACGGGCGCGGCCGGATGCATCGAGTAGTGGTAACCGGCCGCGGGTGTCGCTTGTAGCGTTTGCGAGTGGTGTTGGATTTGTTGTTGTTGTTGTTGTTGTTGCTGCTGCTGCTGCGGGTGGTGATGGTTGTGCTGGTGATAATGGTGAGGCTGAAGCAGACTGTTGTTGGGCGGCGGCCTCTTGATTGCCGCGTAAGTCGCGACTACCGGTTCCCTTTTCGAGAAATCTGTCAGGAAAAACCGTCGGTTGTAACCGCCGTGAACAGCCTGCGACGGCGGCGTGGTCGGCGTCGCGGTGGACGCGGACGAGTAGAAGTGCGCGCGGTTAGTGGCCGGCGGCGGCGGTTTCCAATAGTGCACTCGGTCCAGCACCGGCGGCAGGTAGTCGAACGTCGGGTCGTTTTTAAGCGGATCGCCGCGGCCCAACGGCGTCCACTCTTCGAAGTCCATCCGCGGCGAAATCACGTTCCGGACGTCCGTCATCGTCGTCCCGGCGGACGTTGAAGCTGCAACACAACAAACGCAATTCATTAGATATCAGATTCCAATAGCAAACACTCGTAATCGCTGTAACGGAATCGATTTGTTTCTGTGGTCGTAACGAGCGGCGAACCGCGCGCAACGACGCATCGTCGAGACTATAACATTATTTTAATATATTTTACACCCACACGCCAGGCGCTGAGGTCGACGAGTCCAACAGAGTTGTTTAAGTCGTATATTGTTATTTCCGTGTTATCGATGAGTTATAATATCGTTTATAAATACTGATCGCCAGTCGGTGACGAATAAACGTACACGGCCAAGTTGAAATTTAGTAAAATCCAGATTCGAACTTATTATTAGTTATTATCACCGTCGTCGGACGTGTGATGGTTTATGTTACAACGGTGTTATTGTACATATTATGATTCTGTTTTCATACAAACGATAATATTTGTTTGATGATGACCAATGATGACCGTAGATACTATACGATTTAATGGGAATACGACCAATTATTATGACACGAAATCGAGATTTGATCATTTAAAAATTCATAAATCAATTACCCGTTTATTAACTGCAGCATTAGTGATCTGATTATATTAATTTCCAGTGACCATTTAAATAATATATCAATACTTTGGCTATATTACATCGACGTATATGCAATTTTTTAGAAGAAGAGTTTGTTTTTGAAATTTACGAATAGTTCCATAATATAGTTTTACCGCGGCATCTAAACGTAGAAGAGACGACGAAAATGCAATATTTTTTTTTATCAACACGCCCATTTTAAGACGTATAATATGACTTAAAGTGTGTTTATATTTATATATTATGGTGTTCGTTTACGATTTTCTATATATGTAGGTGCTTATGTGTGTGTGTGTGAGTGCATGTGTGTGCTTGCGTGCGAACATTTTCGGTCAAGTTATAACCTATATATTACCAGCCACATAGTGCATGTATACATTATAGGTATGTACTATTGGGACTAGTTTCCCGTCGTTTCCGCTGGCTCGCCACAAATTAGTGATCCCGCCGTACGCCCATTAGGTGGTCCACAATCGCTGCCGCCAAAAATAAAAAAACTGACCGTGCCTGGGGGGCCGCAATAGCGCTATATCTACCTATCTATATGTAGGTATATACCGCTTATACTTTCCGCCGTCTATCCGCAGTCATAATATTACGCGTATAAGCGAGTAAAAAAAAATAATAATAAATGTTCTTTTGACCGATCGCAAACCGATTCGCTTTTAATATTATTATAAGTCGTTTATATTTACGCAGACTCGTTGTATATAAGTGCACGTGCCGCGCCGCTAATGTATGTGCATTTATTGTTTGTAGTTTTTTACCGTTTGCGGATTGATGAGAAATACCGGAAAGACGCGTATTATTATTTTTTTATTTTATCATCAGTGGTAGCTATGTGCGTAGTAGTCTATATTTCTAGGAGATTTTTTCGGATATGTACAATTATATATATTTATATAATATAATAATATGCACGCGTTATAAACTACTCCTACATAATCACGTGACCCCATCGATGATTCGACAATCTATATACATTTATCGGTTTTTTATCTTTTTTTCTAGGTTCTGTATTGAACAATCATATTAAAGAGTGTTTTTTTTTTTTTTTTTTTTTTAACAGAATAATTCATTAAATTATAAGGCTAAGATAGGTCTAGTATACTCGTATACTATGTGTAGGTTTGTTCTCGGCCGAATGAAAATCAAATTCATTCGTCAAAATAGTTAGGTACCCGTATAGGTATACTAATTATTGAGGATGAAAATATTTTGGGATTAATTATGACGGGCTTTATGTGGTTACACCTATAATTATTGGTATGGTAAATATGACAGTTATTTATGAGTTACAAATTATACACGCAAAATATGCATGAAAATAAAACATACAATATATATATATATATAAACAAAACTTAAAAAGTATATTAAATAGAGAGTTAGTTAATTTGTATTTCCTCATTACTTTTACTAATGTAGAAATACACTGCAGTTATTGTTTTAACATTTTAAACAATTATTTATGACCTATATTATAATACTATTGAATGATTTAAAGATTTTTTTAAGAAAAAATACGATGACGTTTATAGCTGAATAAAGTTACAAGTTAAACTAATTGTATTTAAACTTAAGCATTGAATATTATCGTATTATTTCGCATCTCTAAATTATTATAGGAATGAATCAATATATATTATACAAAACTAACTACTACTCTGGTAATTTAATAATATAAAATTAAAGCATTTCTCCAAAATTCAAACAATACCATTCATCACAAAAATATTACAAAATAAATAATAAATATATTATAATATAAATCAAATATGATGCAACCAATTTTTAATCAAACCATTTACAGACAAAATATGTTTTCAACTCGACATCTGTAGGTACTGTATAAGTACAAGAAAAATGGTTTTTTAAAATACTAATTAATAATCTAATACACTAATACACATACACATTCAACTAGGTATCCAATAATCACTAATAGGTACAGTAGTAAGTATACGACCTATTGGATATTCAATTGATATCAAATACAATTCAATATTTTTTAAATGATTAACACTTCAAGAATTCAGAAAAAAATTCGTTTGAAATAAAAACTACCTATGAAGGAAACACTGTTGTGTAAAATAAATAATGATCTATCTTTAACATCTCAGAACTCAGTATGAATATTAATAACAAAAAGTAAAATCTAAATTCCTGATTTCAGTTTCTTTACACATAACTAATTTGTTTTATAATCATTTCTGTTAATCTGTCTAGAATTCAAATTAGATATGATTATATACATTTATAAAAGTTGTTAAGGTGTTAGGAATACAAATTTGAGTGGACATAAATAATTCGCTTTCACTCCTAGTCAATATGTTTAAACGTTTAAAGTAAGTCACATAATATGTGTTGATTTTATACCGTGATAAATTAAAGATATTTATTAATAGTACCTATATTTCATTGTGATCGATTTGAATTTTTAAATAAAAAAAATATACTTTGGGCTTTATCAGTATATTTTTTAATTATTTTCTTTTAAAGAAATATTATTATCCTGAACAGAAAATTAATCATTTATTTAATGAAATAATTCAGTATAATATTAATATGCCCATGTGTATAATTTATTTAAATCATTTTAATTGTTTTATTAAATTTTAGTTTATGATAGTATCTAATTATTTCTCAAAACTATTTTAGATTACTGATGTTGCACATAAAGAAGAATCAGTTATAAAAAAATATATATATTTTTTTTTTCATAGAAATAAAATTGTAAATTTAGGTATGTGAATTAATTAAATTATTGAGAAAAATTGACAATTAAAAATAATCAATTTCTTTGTAAATTTTTTTCATTCTAAATTAATATTTTAGTATATTATACCTATAATTTATACTTTATAGTGTTTATACTTAGGTTAAATTATACAACAAATATCATTATCAATATTAATCTCTTTTTTATTACTATCATTTTTATGAATTCTAAAATAAATATTTTTAATCATGCAATATTATTGTGTATTATTATTATTGTTAATTTTTTTAATTTTTACACATTAAATAAAAAAATTAAACCCCAAAAATTTGAACCATTTATTACTTTTAATAATAATATCGATTTCAATTGATCATCTATTCTTCTATTACGTCTGACAAGCAAATATCCCTAAATATTAGAATTTCATTACAACGGCAGTGACTCGTAGCACACTGTATAATCGGGATATGTAGAGAAAACTCAGAATAAACGAAACATATTGACAGTGAAAATAATAAACGATTAAAAATAAAAATTGTATATATATATTGAAGCAGATAAAAAATAGTGTCATTGATAAATGACGTGTATTTGCTTGAACATTAGAACGTGACACGAGTTCTTATATTATAGCGGTATCATACCAGTCGACATCGAACACTGATATTAGTGATATTAATATATGAACATCACATAATATTTATGCTCTTGGAAGATTCTTTTTTATTTACAAAACGAGTAAGCTATAGGTACGTATATAGCTTATTATACCAATACGGTACCTATAATTATATGATTCTATATAATCTATGCATGTGTATTTAAGTATTTACTCTTGCTTTTAGACAGAAAAAAAAATCAATTAAGCAATAAACATCACGGCGTATCCGAGTTAAGTTTTCAGAAGAAGTGAGGATGTTCTAGTTAAAAGTGATAATACCTACCAATATTGTATTATGCTAATAAAATCGATGGGATTTTCAATTTAATTATTATTATTAAGTCGCGGTGTATGTGATAAAATTTACCTGATTATTAAAATTATATATATTATAATATATTTATATATAAATAAATAATAATAATTTTATATTTTTTATTATTATATTATATATATATTTACTATGTATAGGATTAAATCCATCTAAACAAAACTCTTTTGTGGGGGGTATGCGAAAATGCCGCTCTAATCCTGATCTAATGACCCCTCCCTCACAAGTACGCCACTGTGGCGTGTAGTATTATTTCAGTTTCAGTACACAAGTATAATAATAAAACAAATTCTATTTTAATATTATTACTATTATATAATAAATTATGAACGATCGGCATTTTCCCACTTGTAAGATCTCTCTCCTCTGGGGATTTTATTCATATCACCGATACTCTGACTCTTCTCATCACCACATCTCGCATACACCAAACATGTATTATATATAATATACCTGTGTAAGAAATAACATATTAAAAAAAAAAAAGTCATGATAATTTACATATTATATATGTACACGTCATATGCGCGTGGAATTACGGTCTAGACGCGCGAAGGAGCTATCAATTACAGAATTCCACACCACTATCTGATTTCTAGTTTACAATCTACACGTTTAGGCCAAACGGACCACTTGTAGTACACAAACGTTCAGCACACGTCATAATATAATGTGTAAGATTCCTCGGAACATATGTTTCCTGCGTTATATTATACATATACCCCTCCGATTATATATTTGTAGTTTTCCTTGCCAAATACAGCAAGCAGACATGACAACTCATTTACAACAAGGGTAGTGTAGTTGAATTTTGAATAATTAAAATATTTATCACAGTATCTTACTTTACGAAGAACTAATTACATTAAAGTTTTATGATTCCATGAAAGCAAAACTCGGTTAAACGGTTGAGAATGTGACGTGACGATAAAAAAAAATGTATACCTACATAATACTACAGTATTTAAAAGTCGAAATGTTCTATTTATAACACTATTGAATAATGAATTAATAAACTGTATCGATTAAAACTTTTTAGTAGTATGAGTATTTAAATAATTAACTTAATTAGTTAATTATAAGCTTTGAATTAATGAACATTGATCACTCAACCAATTATTTATAAAAAATAGTAAATTTTTAAAAAATCAACGATAATTATATAATAACGCTATACATAATTTTATACCGTCGATTTTGTTAATATTTCAATCAAACGCGTACCTTAACAGCTTTTTTTCGGCGTGCAGCGGATTCATCATACGTGTTTGCCGAATTTATATTATAGATACAAGTAGAAGGTACGTGTAATGTCCGAGCGAAATTATTCACCGGACGTCGGGATGTATGCAAGTCCGTTCCCGTGCGCAGTGAAAGTTGTCAAAGAAGCCGCCCGTGACCCACCACCGATGGTCATTTACCGTCGCGATAACTGTACGGTCAATATTGACTATATACATCTTGCGCATAAACGATAATATATAACTCAATATATATACCTAAAAACTTAGAATACTATGTGATATAAAATATTTTTTTTCATATTCTAGCCGTACCACGATAGATATCACTATCCCTTGCAGACGAATCGCATCCAGTGGGAGTATAACGTCTTCATTTTGTTAGGAAAGTCAACGAAATCGTTTCTTGACTCGGGTTTGAGGCTGTAAAGTATTGCGTATGATATAGATATAAAATAATTATACTCGACAGCTAATTGACTCGTCGTCAACTGTACACCGCAATCATAAAAATGTTGACCGAATAACTCACGTATTTTTTCAGTTATCGATTACCTATAATATTATAATATAAACCAATCACGATTGTACTCGATCATTTATATTCGTATGGGTATTTGTTTTTTTTCTTTTCGATTTCTATCACTGTCTCTTTTTTTTTTACATTTTTCCCGCATAGAATCGATTGAATATTATTGATTTAATTATTCAATTATTTTTTGATTATTGTGAGTACCATTGCACTTTGTACACGTTCACAGTTCGCTTACACTTTTTACGATTATCACACGAATACTAACTAATATCGTGTTATAAAAAACTCTGAATGATTTATTAAAAAAAAAAAAAAATTTGTCTATGAACTATAGATGTAAAAAGAAAAATTAATGATATACGTTTACATTACACGCAATGGACAATATACATTAATTAATTGCATCTTGTATAGGTAGTTGCAGGTTATTAATTTTGGTTTTATAAATGGTCTCAAGACTAATTACCTCGCAATTTCAGTTGCAATAAATATTTATTCCTCTAACTAGTATAGTATTTGTATAAGCAAATAAAATAGTAACTAACTAGTAATATTAGTATGCGGCAAACTAAAACTATAAAATCTTATCGAACATCTATAAAGTATAAAACATAATATTTTTATCAAAATTAAAATTAATAAAAATACATTTAAGAATCTTACTATCTACATCTAAATATTGAAAGCAATTTGATTAATATTTAATTGTATCTTGAATTTCTCAAAAACTAACATATAAATAATTATATTTCTTAAAATAATTAAACATGAGTAAATATATATTTAAATATAATTATTGATTGTTGTAAATACTATTTTTGTAATTATTTTAACTTTAATATATAATCAAGTATTTCTGTTTTTTAGATAAAATATATTATAATAATTAATTATATAGATACATTATTGCAAAGTAATTGGTATCGCGACTCTAAAATGTTCAATCGTAAATTGTATTGTTTATTTTCTAATGCACATGAATGTTGAGTAAACTAATTTCAAAAAAATTCTCATTAACTTTAATTATGTTGTTCAACAAGTTTCAATTTTCATTAATAAATTCTTGATTTAAAGGATTCAGTTTTATAAAGTAGTCACTGGTCATCGATCTTTCACTTTCTTTACATACGATCATGCACCTGCAGTTATTGAAATTAAAGTATTATAAGTATAATAGTTTTTGTTAAGATTTGGTTCATATAATTTCCACCATTCAAATGAAAATCTTAGTTGAACATTATTTTCTTAATTTATTACTATACTCAGTACGTGCATATTAATATTTTTAAATTATAAAAAATGTTAATATGATGATAAAAAAAATCCAAGTACTTAATGATTCTCGTAAACATTATTTATAACATTTTTCTTGAATTTCAAATATCCCGAGAACTGATTATATTATAATTTATAACAGTAGGTACCTCTTTTACATTATCTATTTTGAAAATCAGCGATTTATCAAAATACAATACTGCGTGAATTTTATAAGTTAATTAACATTCTAATGTGCGTACATTAGTAAAGTTATATATAGTTGTACACTTGTACGTATAAATAATTATATAATAGGTATATAAATATTTCTCGCTGAAAATATATATCTATAAAATAATAAATATATTTTAAAATAGCTGAATGCAATTAATTTAAAATTAATTAATTCTTAATTTTTACATTTTTCAAATAAGTGTATTATCATAGATATGTTCTTTAAACATTAAACTATATTAACACTTGTTATAGTTTAATTTCTGTTTCTGTTCATTCGTATATGCCTATTCGTTATATTCACTTACAAAAAAATTACTAAATTCAACAACGAGTAATAGATGGTATAAATAAATAAATACATTTTGTTCCCTGTATACCTAATAAAAAAAGTGTTAATTTAGCGTAAAAAATATTAAAATAACTTAATTACATTTTATGTCTATTACTCTATGGCTTATACTAAATTTATTACACATATAACATATCTTAATAAGCTTAAAACTATTTTACTTTTAGAAGGGGAGACATTTTTTTACAGTCTTCATTAATGTAATTGTATTTCTCTAGAATTTTTTTTTTACAAATATATTTTTGATTTATTTTGATTTATTGTATTCAATTTATAAATATTATTTCATGTTCAATTTTTCAGTTTAAAATTGTTCATTAAGTAAAAGTAAAAAATAAATAGGTTTAAACTTAATTATACGAAAGGCTATAACTTAAAATAAAATAATAATATATAACATTTGATAAACTTTTACATTTAATATTCTTTGTGAATTGAAATTCAGGCCATTGTATTTGTTTTTAGTGAAATCAAGTTTGAAATTCGCAACAAAATTATTAAAAACGGTCAAGCCGGTGAACCCTAAGGTTCATTAAAAATTTAATTTCATCTGTGGTTAGACATTTTCTTTCAACCACAAATTCGTACATAGTATACATTGAGATTAAGTATATTTATGATGAGATATCTAATCAACATCACTTCGTATTCATACCTATCTTTTTTTTTTAATTTCTTAATACACTTTAATTTTTTTTTTTTTATACATACAAATGATTTTATAAGCAATAAACGAACAAGTGTAATTTAATTTCGATTATTAAATTATCTACTTTTGTACGTCATTGAAACTAGGTATTCAAAAATAATTTGATCAGTTATCATTTTTTATTGAAATAGAAATAAAAAATAAATCGAAAATTAATACTAGTTTCCAAATTTTTAAAAATTTTATAAAGTAGATTATAGGATATTTAATTTAGAAAATATATATTAGTGCCGAAATGCATTTTAATAAAATTTACTACTAGTTGACATTATAATACGGATCGACAAACCGGTTTTAAGGAAATGTTTAGTGGTGTCATTATAATTTATATAATAATAAAATACTTTGAAATAATCATAATTTTACATGTAGGTATCTACAGTTAAAATATTAATCGTTTGTTCTGACAGTTTTTATATCCTTAAACAACTAAATCTAACTATTACTACTCTACAAATATTCATATTTTACCTCGGTGATTTCAGTTTATTACCTATGTATAGTTATGGTTAAAATACTATTATTATCATAAATATTGTTAGTAAATAACGTAAAACTTTTTAATATAAATGTGTGTTGTGTGTATGCTAGTTTCTTGTCGTAAATCTATAGTTGCGTTTACAAATAAAAAATAACGACGTAGATAATATCATATTCGTTCGTACATAATAACTCGGCCACTATGGGACTTAACTAGAAATAGTTTTTTTTTAAACAATTTGAGTCTGTACTCACCGGTGTCTTTGTGAGTCCACGGTGCTTGACCGTTTGCTACTTCGGCAGCACCGACCATGATCTTCAACACGAGCACGTTAACTACGAACAAGCACCGCATCTTGGCCATCATCACGTACAAAATGTCATGTGATTTGACTATTATAATATAATATAATTGTATAATGTCTGTAACGGCAACAATGAATATGATCGACGTGTAACCAATACAATTTAGCGAAAAATGAGAAAATAATAAAACAAAAAACTTTTAAAAAAATATAAGGACTCCGAATATTATGGTGTCCTGAGCGGGTACGCTATTTTCGGATGATTAAACAAAATTCACTCGTTGCGCGGAGAATTATTGTCGTATGGGGTGCCGTGCTGCCACGATAGGAGGAGGTTTGTCGACATTTTCGACTTTTTGGCGCGAGCGCACACATTCACTATACACACATACACATATACACGCACACCTCTACTGAGCCACTTATTGCCGGGCAATGATGATGAATAATGCTTTCAGCCCGGCGAGTATTAGTAACGCGTGCGCCACAACGGGGGGGGGGGGGGTAAAGCTCCTAGACTCATCTGCGGGAAGGAACCTGTTGCATTGGCAGGGTGGGAGGTGGATTCATATTTTCTAGGGAGAGGGGGAAAGTCGATGGATTTGTGAATGAAATTGAACGTTCGACCGGTTACGACGGGCGGACTCTCTTTCTCCGCCGTGTTTCCTGCAGTGCGATGCACAGTCCGTGTCTGCGTAGTCTTACTGTTCGTCTACGCGTCTTTCTCTATCACTAGCTTATTCCATCTCTCTCACTCACTCAATCTTTCTGCTGGACTGGTTTTGCAATATACACGCGTCGTAATGTTATAGTGTGTGTGTGGTTTTTTTTTTTTTTTTATATATATAGAAATTGAAATCGTTACCGGTAGATACGATACTTATTCACCTCTCCGCTTCCCTGCCATGACGACGAGATAATACGCACGCCGAACGTAGGTATATACCCGGTATAAGTGGTGATGTATACGCGAATGAGTGTGTGTAGATACCTCTATATATGCTTATGAATCTGTCGGCCGGCTCATGACCTCTGCCCGATACTAAAACGGATATTGTTGGAAAGCAGAAACTTTTTTTTTTTTATTATTTTATTTTTATATTTTGTTTTTTAATAAATGATCCACGGCGAGTATCGTTTATATTAAATTATTTTACTTACATACAAAACATAATTATTAACAATAGTACAATAATCATTTTTCTCTTTATAATATATGTCTTTATTTAATGTTAAAAATGTAGGTAATGTTAATTATAGGTACACAAAATACACTGTTTATAATATTTGATGTGACGTTTTCGTGTATTCTTTACACTGTTCGAATTATTTAATAATATTATGTCGATTAACTTTAAAAATAAATTTTAATTTCATGGATTAAGTACCATCTAGGAATGAAAATAATATGTGTTGAGCGTGTAGGTACTCGTAATGGATATTTATAAAGTAAAATTCTTTACAATAACTTCTAAACCCATATAACTACACAAACAAAATACTCATCTCTAGGGGTGCATAATTGGGATTATTTGTTACATTTGACATAAAAATAAATTTTATAATTTTATAATTTATAATAATTTACACGAAGAAAAAGAAAAACCATTTACACCATTATGATAGGGTCTATTTTTTCATTTGATTTGGTCCAATAAGACAATATATTTAAAAATTAGAATACTAACATTAAATTAACTATTATTTATTTTAAATATATATTACTGTTTTAATACTATCTAATTTGACTGTCAATTATTCTGGTAGTGATCAATTATAAATAAAATCATCTATTGTTAAACTTGAAAGTTGTAGTGTAATGAAAACCATTAATTTAAATTATTTCATTCTTACCATTTTTTTTTAAATGTGTACCTACTTATAATGTGTATATTGGAATATAACTAACATTATTCACTGATTACAATGTAATGTGTTATATATATACATTTATAATTTAAAATATTTGACTTCATTTTCGATCTGAATGACTGAACTATAGTAAATTGTTTTAAGCAACTCAACTCTTTATAATGGACACACATTGATACACTATCAGAAAGTACAACTTTAAATTATTTAAAATCTAATGCATTAATTTCAATAATCTAAATTATAAATATTATGAGGAAAATATAATTATTGGACTTCAGAACCCTAAAATGTATATCACAACCAAACAACTACATTAAGTGTAAAGTGGATCATTATTTGTTTATTAAACTGTCATCAAAGATGTCAGCGTAAAAATAATGATATGTCAACAAGTGGTTGAGTGTTTTGCCCCTGTATTTTAATGAGACATGACCTCAAAAAACCTGATATTTTGTATCGTAATTTTTTCTGCTACATTCCAATAAGTTTATAAGAATTGAAACTGTTTATTGTTATACTTTTTATGTATTTATTTTACAAGTTTTGAGAATGATGACATAGAAATGTTGATTATATTTTAATGTTATCGATTCTGAGTAAAGCAAAGGTTCTGTTGTTATTACAATAATGTGTGTTAATTTTTTTTTATGAATCAAATAAATTAATTAAAGATTTTAGTGTTCAGTAATGGCAGAAAACTTCCGGTCTGTTCTAGCTTTGGCGATTGTGAATATACCTATAATCTTTATATATAAATTCAGGGACAGTTTTTACTTGCGGTTCTAATCATGATGAGATACGACTCATATTTTATTTATAAAACAAAAATGTACTTATTATTATTATTAGGAATATTAATTTATTTAGTATACATTTATAAAACTATTTAAAATGTGTTCATAAAAATGTTGGTTCTTGGTATTATTGTATTTATCCATATATCACGTAAACATACTCATATATGCTATATATAGTACCTGTACATATTTTTAATCTTCTATCTTTTAGGGTTAAGTCAACAGTTCTGCACTGATAGTGATGAATTGAACAATTGTAAAAAGTGAGTAAAAAAGTAATAATTTTAAATAGAAACTTCTGATCATTTTAAAATTAATTCATCAGATGCGAAATTTTGATTTTATACCATAATTTTATATGATAACTTAAATGTAAACGCATTTAATTAATCCACCATAATATAATATAGTTTCTAATTGTAAAAACTAAAAATACGAAAGTTTGTTCTTGAGAATAATTTTTATACGTTATTGTATAATTTTATGAAATAATTTATAATGATAAGAATAATTTAGTTTTTAACTCGATTGAAAAATACACATACTGTACTATGAAGTGCTTAATAATATATATAATTTATACATTTTATGAAGCCAAAACATTTTTTTTTAATATTATTTCTTGCAGAAATACGTTTAAACATAAACTTATGAGTGATACTTCAACCAAAAATATATTATCAGGTTAGGATCAAATTTGGAATTTGCTACCATGTAATTGTTTTAAAAGTGTTTGAAAAGTTCTTAAATACATAGGTACGAGTATTTTCGATGAATAAAACTAGAATATTATACTAAAACATTTTTTTTCGTTCCAAGGATGCTTCACGATAAGTGTAAATAACAATTTACAGGTGTTTTTTTTCAATACGATGAATAAGTTTTAGTAAGCTACGCAAAACATAAAATAATAATCAGACACGAAATCGAAACGAGTAGGTATATATTATGCGCGCGTTGGATTTAATGGTTTGATCGCGTGACCCCGATGACCGGATAATCGTAGAGCACTGAAATGTATCCAAAAACATTACAACGATTACGACTACCGACAGGATTTGAGCGAGAAAGCATAACGGCTAAAAATGTATTGGTAAACGAAACCGAATGTTCACACTGAGAGAAAGTGGTGGGCGCGTGCACGGGGTTCAGTGGCGGCATCCCTACGGCTCTCGATACAACCGCAACACCAACTGCAGAAGCAGCGGCTGCCGCAACAGCAGCAGATGATCCACATGCTAATTGTAACACGATTGAGGCAGAGGAAAAAAAACACATTTGGACTTGGGAGTAACAGAACTTGTCAAACTACATTTCTGAATATAATACGACCGAAATTTTAGCGATTACCCCGCGGGTCCTTTAGATATATAATATAACACATTATAAGTTTACTAGACTAATAAATATTTCTAGACACTCCTAAATTTTTGATAAACTACAATTAGTATACGATGAAAGTCTAACCGAAGTCTAATCACTATGTGTAAGAGACAAAGAGTATAATATTATTGAATATTATTATTTCCGTTGTTGGTAGGTACCTATATTATATTATGTACGGCATTCGTATGTGCGTGTCAGTTCTATAAATGTTTTATTGCCATATTGTTTTCTTGGCTGTCCACGTACAACCTAACCTAACCCAAAGTATTTTCCTTTTGTCCTTTCCGACATAATCTAGGCTATCTACCTATCGACTCATATAATCTGCAAATAAATAACGCTTTCGACAACATTTACAGAAAATAACTTTATGTTCCCTTTTTGTATCGATTGTAACTAGACGCGTTATAAAGTATTATTTTGCTCGAGCTTAGTTTAATGTTGTAACCATCGAAGGACGAAAAACAATAATCGTCGTGTTATATCTTAATTTTTTTTTTCTTAATTTAATATTACTAATAAGTTTACCAATGTTACATTATTATTTATTCATCTTAATGGTTTTGTAAATATTTTGCTCGTTAAAAATTAATTTATTTTAACTATTTGAATTGCCTAAATAAATAATTAATTTTGTAATTACCTAAATGAATAACGTAACTAGATAAAATCTTTACGTTGTAATAATTTAGCTTTTTTCTATTAATATGACAATCGTATGTTAAATTAAAATCATATTTATATTTATATATTATTGATTAATTCTAATTAGTTATTAAATAATATAATTATTTTATACATAAAACATAAATAAATAGATAAATATTTCTTGATTTTATAATTTAATAGACTCAAACGTGTAATTGATTAACTATGTAAAAATTATTGACTTATGTTAGAACTTCCTATAACTAGTTTATGATAATTGCAATGTATAAGGATTCAACATTTGGTTATAGGGTACAAATTTAAAAAACTTAATTTTTCACTACCACTAAGTATATGTCTATAAGTGTAATCATTATCTTTATCATTATTGGTTAACTTTTATATCTTATAAATCATATTTTAAAGTTTTTGACGTTGATCTAACTTTATTATTAATTATTCAAGCTAATATTTTTCATTGATCTGCTCTCATTTGAACTTTTACATACTATTATAATACGTATTATAAACTTAGTGATTTTTAATTATGATATCTACAGACTGGTATCTATATTATACTTGGGTTTTAAAATTAACTATTGATTTTTTTTATCACATCCATATTTATATATTACGTGTGTGCTTATTTCTATACAAATATATTTCTTATAGGCTATAGCATTCATCAGATAGGAATTACGTCGAATAAAAATTGCATA